ATAATCAGGATGGCCGATTTCAGACAGTTGACAAGAAGGTGTGAGTAACAGTAGGGGGATACTTAACATGGAGAAATTAGATTGCAAACATAGTTTCAATTTGTGTAATGACCCAGCCACTCCCAGTCTTTATTCAAGCCTAATGTAATGGTATCCAGTTTGCAAATTAATTCCAGTTATGCAGTTTCTCATTGGAGTCTGATTTTGAAGGTTTTTTGTTGAAGAATTGCTACTTTTAAGTCTGTAACTGAGTGACCAGAGAGATTGAAGTATTCTCCTACTGGCTTTTGAATGTTATGATTCCTGATGTGAGATTTGTGTCCATTTATTTTTTTGCATAGAGACTGTCTGGTTTGGCCAATGTACATGACAGAGGGGCACTGCTGGCACATGATGGCATAGATCACACAGAAAGCATTAGGTGAGGTAGAGAAGCCAATCTTGTTATTGCCCCAGGGATTGTGCAGCCTATTTGCTACTGTCCTTTATGATACAGGAGGACTCTGGGGATCCTTCATCAGACAGTGTCACTGACATGTGGGGGAAGAGCCCACTGGGAATGGAAAAATGGGCTTCTCTAGCCACAGTCATCCTAGTCTCTCTGACCTGGAGGATTCCCATCTAACTAGTGCTCTGTCTTATATCTGTGCCCCTGGAGGACCCCTGTCTACCCAACCCCCGATATCTCATCTCTATGGCCCCTGAAAGCTCCTCCCCCTCCCTGCAGCACCAACGATGGGAGGGGTGGCGGAAGAACCCCTGGAGCTGCAGGAGGAGCGGAGGGGCAGATGGGGGGGAGGGGGCTGCAGGTCAGAACTGAGGGAGGGGCTGGGGGCAGAAGTGATGTGGGGGTTAAGGAGTAGAATTAACAGCCAGGCTAGGGACAGGAAGATGTGGGGGTGGTAGGGACACAGAATTAATTAATTAGGATTTGGGGTTTTGGGGAGAAGCTGGAGGCTCCAAAGCAGCACGGAGCCTGGGAGAGGGCGACCCAGAAACTGGAGAGTGTGACCTACAAGTCACGAGGGAAGGGATGCTATAGTGGGAAGCAGCTAGAGGGTGGGGCGATGTCAGCTGGATGAAGGTGTGGAGAGTCAAGTACAGGGTAGGTTTAACCAGAACGGGGGAAAGAAATGAAAGAAAGAAAAATAAAGTAAAACCAGTGTAAAGACAGAAGCTTGGAGAAAGTGGAGGGAAACTCAAATGAAGAGTGAAAGCAAAATTGTCCTGAGAAGGAAAATACTCTGGGGCAGGCAGCAAGAGAGGAAGGGATAAACTCAGGGGAGAGAACTGGGAACCTGGAGTGCAATGATCTGTGATGGGGAATAGAGAAGGGTTAGGGAGATGCAGAGAAATAAACATATGGGAAAGGAGTGCTAGAGAAAATGATGTGTAAAACCCATGAGATTAAAGAAAAGAGAGGAGAGAGAACATGAGGTTGAGATCTATAAAATATTTCTGAAAGTGAGAGACTAACATTAATTCAACCCCATAGCTCAGGGCCAATATTTCCACTTTGGTACCTTTCAGAACAACACTTCTTCAGATTTGTGGATGTTTTTACCATGTATTCTGGTTATAGAAGTTCCTCTCAGCTCCTTTTAACCTGACATTTACTTAAGGTAAATAAACAAGATGCATATTTTCTACGTTTCATTTCTCTTTCATTTTCCAGCTGTGATTTTTGAAGGCAGACATGGGTTGACATAAGCGATTTGGGAGTGGGGTATCCCAATACCAATGAGGACCTCTCTGTATGTCATTATGATGATAGCAACATATTACAGTAAGATGCAGGCTATCGAGCCTGCACTCTGGGTCATGTGCTTTATATAAACATGCACATCGGGAATTGTTCAACAGGAGAGAGCAGGTTGGGTCACTTTACTTCTCAATTTCCAAACCTGTCAACGCGTGGCAGATGTTCAGTTTGGAACCACGGGATTTCATGGCACATCACCCCACAATCAACAGATTATAACACTTTTAACTATCATGTGAATTGAACTATTAAAGAAAACTGAAATATAGATCAAGTAGAACGACTCAATCCCTACTCCCCCAGCTGCAGGGTTAATAGCCTGGCCTCTCTGGTCCCCAGCACATGTCCCCACCACTTGAATTTTAGGAGGAATTGCCATTATTTCTGAGGCCAAACACCAGAGTGGGACTTAAGGTGACCAGCTGTCCCAATTTTATAGTGACAGTCCTGATTTTTGGGGCTTTTTCTTATATAGGCTCCTATTACCCCTTAACCCCGTCCTGATTTTTCACACTTGCTATCTGGTCACCCTAGTGGGACTTCACACACACTGTGCCAGCAAGTCCACAAATACTAGACAGATTAGAATATTAGAGATCACAACTCTAGTGCTCTGTTCCTGGCTCCATTGTGCAGTGGTGGGTAGTGACACATAACCAGGTTGTATTTATTTCATGCATTCATCCCAAAAGGAAGTAGAAATGAGTGGCTAGTGCCTGGACTTTCCACATTGGAGACCTGGGTTCTCTTCCCAGTTCCACCTGAAGTGATTTTGTGCAGCTTCCCAATTACCTTGTAAACTGGGGGAGAAAGTGTCTGATACTTCTCTGCTTTCTAGGGCTGGGGGTATGGGGGTTTTATTAATGATAACTTTTGTGATCGGGAGCAGCACTAGGGGGGAATTCCAAGGGCTATAACCACCCCTCCCAGTGCAAAGGTGAATGCTGAAGCTGTGCCCACTCCCCAGTGCAGGGCCACCCCAGCTAGGCCAGGCTCCAGTGTGTCCCTAGATGGCTGCTTGTGTAGCCAACAGGAGCACAGGGAAGGAGTGAGTGGGTCATGAGGGTGAACGAGCAGGTGCCGATATCAGAGCTCACTTAGTGGGGGTGTGGGAGCTTCTTTGGGCTAGAGGAAGGGACCTGGGTGGGGGGTGATCAGGGAAGGGGAGATGAGAGGTGTTGGAGGGGGCATGGGGAGGGGAGCTGGGTGGGGGGTAAACAGGGCTTTCTTGCTGTCATAAATATAAAGGGAAGGGTAAACACCTTTAAAATCCCTCCTGGCCAGAGGAAAAACCCTTTCACCTGTAAAGGGTTAAGAAGCTAGGATAACCTCGCTGGCACCTGACCACAATGACCAATGAGGAGACAAGATACTTTCAAAGCTGGAGGGGGGAGAAACAAAGGCTCTCTGTCTGTGTGATGCTTTTGCCCGGAACAGAACAGGAATGGAGTCTTAGAACTTAGTAAGTAATCTAGCTAGATATGCATTAGATTCTGTTTTGTTTAAATTGCTGATAAAATAAGCTGTGCTGAATGGAATGTATATTCCTGTTTTGTGTCTTTTTGCAACTTAAGGTTTTGCCTAGAGGGATTCTCTGTGTTTTGAATCGGATTACCCTGTAAGATATTTACCATCCTGATTTTAAAGAGGTGATTCTTTTACTTTTTTTTCTTCAATTAAAATTCTTCTTTTAAGAACCTGATTGTTTTTTTCATTGTTCTTAAGATCCAAGGGTTTGGGTCTGTGTTCACCTATGCAAATTGGTGAGGATTTTTATCAAGCCTTCCCCAGGAAAGGGAGTGTAGGGTTTGGGGAGAATTTTTGGGGGGAAAGACGTTTCCAAGCAGGCTCTTTCCCGGTTATATATCTGTTAGACGCTTGGTAGTGGCAGCAATAAAGTCCAAGGGCAAAAGGTAAAATAGTTTGTACCCTGGGGAAGTTTTAACCTCAGCTGGTAAAAATAAGCTTCGGGGGTTTTCATGCAGGTCCCCACATCTGTACCCGAGAGTTCAGAGTTGGGAAGTAACCTTGATATTGCCTTGACTGAACTCACTCCAAATTCCAAGTCCCTTGTCCAGCAGAGGACCTGCCACTGATGGAGAGTATTATAATTATTCATGCATATTTTATTTTACATTTGTAGTGCTGTATAAAATGACATTTTCATTAGCCATACCACAGTTTTAACAGGTATTTCACACAATTATTCACGATTTTTTTTCTTAATACACGTGTGGGAGTATTTATTACTGGAAAGAGGAATCCAAGATAAGATGGAGAGCTCATGCATACTAAGTATTGTTTTCTTTCAAACTCATACTAAAATAAGCCAGAAACGGCTTGAAAGTTTTTAATATGGTTATATATATATATATATATATATATATAACATGATAGGCTGCAAGAGTTCCAAGCTCTGTAACAATTTAATCCATAATTAAAACTAGTGCAATAGCTATTTTTATATATCTCACTTTGCGTAGCTTGAAAGGGTGAGTTTATGGAAATATGTATTGTTTCAGCTCCATTGCAGAACAGTGCTGCGATGGTTAAAGGCTCTGTAACAGTCCTATTTTATACATCTCAGCCATTAGGATCTTACCTTTTAGGCATAGCTGTTTGCTCCAGGCTCCATTTTGGGATTAAAGAACCTGAGCCCAAATTATATTTTTGGTACAGGGTTTTTTTTAAAAAAAGGCTCTCTTGGTTTTTAGGTTTGTAAATGCAAAAACAAAAAATAGATGCATTAATTTCTGTACTCTTCTGTAAAAAAGTTTATTTTTTTTAAAATACGAAGCCCGATTCTCATTTACACAAAGTCCTTTTTTTACACAACTCAATCGGCATAAAGGGGCCTTGATGTGCGAGGAACTGATGTTTATGCCCTCTGCAGAGACACATCTGCTCCTGTACAGCATTTACACAGTCAAAGCTGCGTAAAAGCGCCCTTCATGTAAGTCAGCCTCAGTCCCTAAATGTTTTCAGGTCATTTGACCATCATGTGGACTGGTACACAGGAGTCACTACTTTTTGAAGCAGTATCTTAGTAACAATTTTGGCCCTTGAACACAGATGTGCTCCTCCCTTTGAGTTAAATAGGTGCAACAAGAGTCTATCCACAGTCAGACTTTGACCCTTGATAATAGACCTTTATATACCTATAGTTATTTGCCAAATCCATGGCCCCATGGTGTTCAGGCACCCCTGGCTGGAGACTAATAAAGATACTTATGAAAACTGAATTTACATTTTTATTCCACACCTATGCAGACATACCTAGGTAATGCTAAAGTAAAAACTTCATACATACAGGGGAAAGTATCTTTGAAGGGGAAGGAAGAGGGAATTCACAAGCACATACACTCAAGATGCTCTCACAGTTGGGTATTCGTGCAGCTGTCATTGTGTGTAATCTTCCGTGGGGTGGAGTGCCTGGGGTACTGCTCCAGGCCCGGAAGTTACGTGGAGGCCAGTAAAGGGAGGTCCCGGAATGCAGTTCTCTATGGGCTGCAGGGGAAGGCGAGCACGGATGTGTTCAGCCTGAAGTTCAATCAGAGACCGCAGCATGTCTGTCTGCTCCCGGAGCAACGTGATCATCTCTTGCTGCCCGTTTCGCCTGTCCTCGCTATCCCTCTGCATTTTGTCATTGATCATTACCCTCCAAGCCCTCTGCTCGCGCTCCGAAGCACGGGAGGCTCGCAGGACCTCCTGAAACATGTCTTCCCTTGTCCTCTTCTTTCTCCTCCTCACCTGGCCCAGCCGCTCCTCTGGGGTGGACGGAGAGGCCCTCAAGGCCGCATTTGCAGCTGCTAAAGAAACAATGGACAGGTACCATTGCCAGTGCATTTACTCCCCTTGATCGAAACAAGTTACAAGCACAACACGCTCACTTCCCCTTGGGACTCAGAGCAGCCCTACCCATGGCGAGTATGGCCGGGGGGTGGGGTGGGGTGGGGTGGGAGTTGGGACAATAAGGAGGCGGTAGCACTGGGGCAGCAGCACAAGCAGATCGGGCTATTGTACTGCATACTAGCCCCGTTTCCACAGGCGGTGGGGACCCTAGGTGATCTCTCGCTCCGGAGAGTAACAGGCTGAAAGGGAAGAGCTCCTGGCTGCAGGCTGGGTCGGCATGCTGCTAGCCTGTGTGCTGCAATGGTGCCTGCGGAAGTAATTGCTGAGTGGCGTGGCAAAGCGTCCTACCATAGGGGAAGGAACAAAGCAGCCCTCCCAAGAAACCTTTGGCAGAGGACTGCAGACTACCTCCCAGGAAAGTTTCCTAGAGAGCTCTACGGATCGCAGGACATCCTGGTGTGAATAAACAAACTATGCTGAAGGGCCCCCTCTGCCGAGTTGTACAGGGGAATGAGCAGATAGCAACTGTACCTCTCTTGGTTATTTCACTTCCTCTTCTAGCCTATTCAAAAAAGCTGTACGTGAGCAGATGTGTCTCTGCAGTACTGAAGCAAACTGAGTACTTACCAGAGGTTCCCTCCCCTGCATCAGGCTCACCGGGGCTGGACTGCTGGGACTGGCTAGACTGCTCAGGAGTCAAAAAGAAGTCCTGGCTCGCCACGCCGCCGGATCCCCCTGTCGCCTGTCCCCCATACTCCTCCTCCTCCTCTTCCTCCTCTTCCTTGATCATCACCTCGATCTCAGGGTTCACCCCGGTGCCCTGTGACTCCAGGTCCCCCAAAGTATCCATGGGACGCTTGGCGGTGGAGGTGGAGTCGCCGTCGATGATGGCGTGCAGCTCCTTGTAGAAGCGGCACGTCTGCGGCTCCGCCCCAGAGCGACTATTTGCCTCCTTTGCCTTCTGGTACGCCTGCCGCAGCTCCTTGATTTTTACGCGGCACTGCTGCGGGTCCCTGTCGTAGCCCTTCTCCTCCATGCCCCGAGCAATTTGGCTGTAGATGTCGAAGTTCCTACGGCTGTTTCGGAGCTGTGCCTGTACGTCATCCTGTCCCCACAGGCCCAGGAGATCCACCACCTCTGGCGTACTCCAGGCAGGAGCCCGTCTGCCGCGTGGAGCCGGCATGCTCAGCTGGGTAGTTGCTAGATGAGCTCTCCACACTGAGCAAACAGGAAGAGCAATTTCAAAAATTCCCAGGCTTTAAGAAGGGCGGGGCATGTACCTGGCTGCCAAGAAACAGAGTTCAAAACAGTGACCAGAGCAGTCACTGTGGGGCATTGTGGGACACCTCCCGGAGGCCACTGAAGTTGACATAAGCAATGCAGTGTTTACACTAACACTGTGTCACCCTAAGTGCTATGCCTCTTGGTAAGGTGGATTTATTAGGCTGGCGAAGCAAGCGAGTTAAAGCAGTGGGAAGAACACTGTATTGTAGACATCTCCATAGTGAGGCAGCTTATGTTGACCTAACTCTGTAGCGTACACAAAGCCTCAGAAACTGGGTTCTACCTCCACATCCCATCCAAACACTCCTGTAAAGTCAAGGAGGAAACTCCTGACAGCTAACAGGATGGGTGGGAAGCCGTGACTGATATTTGCCTTGATGCCACGAAACCTGCTGACTGCAGCCCTGACCTGGGTGGGACGGGGCAGAACTGGGGGCTCTTGCTCACAGCATGTTTTTAGGAGTCGAAGCTTTTTCCTTCACTCACCAGATGGTTTCTCTGTCAGTTTCACGGACTCCTCACCAGTGTGGGTGCCTCTCAGGATCTCCCTTTCCTTGGAGGCCTAGAGATCCCCTGGTTCTTCCCCTCGTTCCAACCCGGTGATCAGCTCAGGTTTGGTAATGGGGAATCCTGCACAGGGGATAAAATCAGGCAAGATCAGGGTCCATGGAGTCTTGGTAGAGTATCATTCCCTGAATTTAACCTGACCCTACATGGGACTGTGGTAACTCCGACCCCTTGGGAGCAGCAGATATCTGGGGGCGGAGGGTGTTGTCATGCCCTCACTAGGAGTTCTCAGGGTAGGTGCGCTCTGGGGGGATTTGCTGACACACACACATCCCTCAGATGTTAAACTCCTGCCTATTTCCAAGCATGCAGCACCAAGAACCCTCCCCATGGATGGAGCTAGTCCCAAGATGGCAGGTGAACGGTGTGTGAAGGAGAAACAATATAGGCAGGACAATACCCTGCTTCTGGCCCCTTGAAAGCTGGGGAGATGAAGATGAATTAGCATGGGAGGCAGAAACCTAATGGACCTGTTCCCTTCAAGGGGATATGAAGATGGAAGTGTCTCTCACACTGGAGCTGTGGACTATGCAACCCATTCTCCCCAAATCCAACTGAGTAGGGAAGAACCGGACCAGATTCAGAAATGCAGACCTCACAGCTTCTAATAGCTGAGGGCACAGGAATCCCTTACCCAGCAAGATTTCAGTCTCATAATTCTCCTGCATGACGTCCCTGTAGAGGGCTCTCTGACTGGAGTCCAGCAGAGCCCTCTGCCCCTTGTTGAAATACACAGTCACATCCTTGAAGGTCACCGAACCCTGAAATAACATCAGTTTCTCCCCTCAGTGCCTGCTGCCAACTAATCCTGTCCCAAGCAGGGGACAGGGACAGGAATCTCAAGACCTTCATATTTCATGGTAGCCTCTGGCTAGTGGGAAATATGGTAGCCTCTGGCTAGTGGCTTCAGCACTGAGAATCTGGTCAGTTTTCCCAGCCCTGTCCATGGGGGTGTTTCCTAGGGTTACCATACACCTGGGTTTTCCCCAGACATGACCTTGTTTTTGGCCCTCTGATCTCCATCCGGGCAGATTTTTGAAATATGAATATCCGTGATTTTTCCTTGCTCATCCTTTTTCCAGCACTGAATCTGGATGAACTGCTATTCCTGGCGTGCCCTAACAGCAGCATGCATGTTAACTGGTTTTCTCATCCTTATTTCTGGGCTGCTGCTGGCTGGGCACTGCCTTCAGAGCTAGCAGAGAGCGGCAGCTGCTGGCTGGGCACCCAGCCCTGAAAGCAGTCCCGTCACCAGCAGCAGCCCAGAAATAAGGGTGGCATGATATTGACTGTTGAGTGGCTGAAAGGGATCCTGCTTGTACAGCTCAACTTCAGGTACGCTCTACAGAGACATATGCATGGGCACAACAGGAAGATGCGCAGTACGAAAGGACTGACTGCATGCAAAGAGGTACACTTAAATTTGATTTACATTTATTTTTGAGGCCATTACGCTTGTTATTTATAAATGTTAGCTATTCAAAGCGGAAAGAAACTGTACAGTCAAAATAGAACTGCCCCCATCCCTCCCCTCTGTTTGGGAACTTGAAATATAGTAACTGTAGTGTTCCCTCTTTCAGAAATGGGGGACTGTTCACTCCCTCCCAATGGGCCTGTTCTGAAAATCAGGCCCAGGTTGAACATGTCCCAGCAGGTTTATCGCACCGTGTCCCCTCCCTGTCTCACCCTGAGTATTTCTTCCCCTCCCGCTTCACAACAACCCGCCCTGCAGATCCCTGAAAATCCCCTACCTGAGCTGGCTCCACCACAGCCACTTCCCTTCCCTGTTTCCTAGGAGGATGGGACCATCGGGAGTGAAACGTGGATGTGATTCCTCAGCCTGTCAGGGGAAGAGCGGTGATGGGGGAGGTTTCAGAAGGGGCTTGAGTCCATTTCACACCCCGATTCCCCCCAGGCTCTCTCCCTGCAGACAGACACTCTGGACTCTGCCACGCTGGGAAAACGCTTAGCTTAAAAAACCCTCAGTCACTTTATTACAACACAGACCCGGCCCCTCCCACCAGCACTGAACCCACCGGGACACTTTTAACCCCCTGCCCCCAGGGTCAGAGTCTCTAAGACAAATGCTAGGAAAGAGCAGAATCAAAGGAGGCACTTTGGGGGGGTTCCCCCTGACATTGGCCCTGACAGCAGCACGTACCCCCAGCAGCGCGGGGACTCAGACGGGGCAAAACCTGGCTTTTCCTCTGTCAGCTCCTCCCCTTGTTCCCAGGAGAGTCAGTCTGCCCAGGGGTGATGTAGGGAATGGATCCCGGCGGGTCTGGGAACCTCCCTCCCCATTTATTGCTCCTGCTGCCCCTTTCACTCTCACCATTCCCCTTTCTATCTCCTTCCCTCTCCCTGGGAGAACTGGTGACTGTCCCGTTCCCATGGGCGTTTGCTTTCCATTGAGAGAGTGGCTGTGGGTCCGAGGGCAGCAGCTCTGGGAGCCGCAGACATATAGGGAGCCCCTCCCACTCTGGTACAAGCTCACCAGCAGAATGTCACTTTCCTGCCTGGCCTCAGCCCTTTCCCCCAGGTCTCTCTCCTCACTTGCAGGCTCTGACTCAGGAGCTGATGTTGGCAGAGCCAAGGACGGCCCCAGGGGGCTAGTTCCCGGCACTGGGGAAAGTCCCCACCTGGGCTGGGCACAGAGGGAGCTATAATGACAGTCTCTCCCTGACACAGACCCTGCTGAGGAAGCAGCAGCTGCTCAGTCTAGGCTCCCAGATCACAAGGGAGGAGGCAGAAGCATCTAGTATTTTCCCCAGGAATTGAAATTTGGGGGGTGTTCGAGTTTACAGGAAGGATGAGGGCCAAGGAGCGAGTCCATGAGGGCAAAGGTGGACTGTATGGCATCATACTAAAAACTGATTGTGAAACGTTTTTTTCATTTATTTAGATTTAACTCCTGTTGTAAAAAATCAAAAATTAAAATTGGGTACTCAAGCCTTCTATGAAGCACAATATCTACATCCTTCTTCGTTTCTTGCTATAATTTTGCACAACTCTATTAATGAACTTCTTGAATGCAATGCGTTCATCTTTGGTGACTTCCTGCGTGTACAGAACTTCCAGTCCTTCAAATGATATGCTCATTAGTTCATTCTTATGATCAGGCACAAGGCGACTTCTTTCAGAAGATAAAATTCTATTCTATCATGAAAAAGAACGCTCAACTGTAGCTGTTGTGACTGGGAGTAGCAAGAGATGAATTCCTACTTCTTTCTGCCCAGGAAACACAGCACAAAGATCAGGTCAAGCCACTAGTGACGATAAAAAAGAAGTTGAAGTGAAATCTTCATTCATTCATCGTATGACATTCCATTCTGTGTTCAAATTCTCTATTCTGTCCTGATCGCATCTCAGCCCCATTTCTGGTAGTGCATCACTCCACTCAACTGTCGGTGTTTTATAAGATAGGCATCTGTAAAAGACTGAATGGAATCCAGAAGTCTCTGTTGTAGATTTGTAAGAATCAAGTCTGTGTACTTTTTCAGCTGGCTTAACAAACACGTCTTCTCACCTTCACTTAAGGATTCAACGTAAGTGCCTTCATTAGTCAACTTCTGGACTAAAGTCTTTGCTTCTTCCAGTACGTTTTCAATGCATATCTCTCTGATTGATCCAAGTATAGCTTCTATTGCTGGACAAAGGTCTACTAGTGTTGTAGCAGATGCCTGGATGACATTGTTTAATCATCCAAGTAGTTTTAACAGTAGACTTACAAAAGAGAATGGTGATTGTCTTTTCTGAACGCAGTCGCAAAAGTAGTCCACCCGCCTCACTACTTAGATCCATCCCATTGTGGTAGATACTTTCCAAAGTCAGTAATAATGGTTGCAGTAATTTTAAGACAACAGCCAAGGATCACTCATGAGAAAACCAGTGAGATTACCCAGGTTGGACTAATTTGAACTTCAGTCCCGGAGCATCTTTTAGTTTTTTCAAGACGTTCAGTCTTTTTGGACTCTTGTTGAAAAAGAGAGTACAACAAAGGCATTAAATTTATGGCTTTTTAAACGTCTCTTGAAGATTCTGCAGCTCGTACTAGTACTAGTTGAGTAGATCATAGAATCACCAGTCTGGAAGGAACCTTGAGAGGTCTTCTAGTCCAGTTCCCTGCATTCAAGGCAGGAAGAGAGTATTATCTAAGACTATCCCTGACAGGTGTTTGTCTAACCTGCTCTTAAAAACCTCCAGTGAAGGTGATTCCACAACCTCTTTGGACAATTTATTTCAGTGCTTAACTACCCAGGCAGTTAGGAAGTTTTTCCTGATGTGCAACCTAAACTTCCCTTGCTGCAATTTCAGCCCATTGTTTTTTATGTTATCCTCAGAGATTAAAGAGAACATTTTTTCCTCCCTCCTCCTTGTAACAACCTTTTATTTACTTGAAAACTGTTATGTCCCCTCTCGGTATTCTCTTTTCCAGACTAAACAAACCCAGGTTTTTCAATCTTCCCTCATAGATCACGTTTTCCAGACTTTTAATAATTTTTTTGCCTTTCTCTGATCTTTCTCCAATATGTCCACATCTTTCCTGAAATGTGGCGCCTAGAACTGGACACAATACTCCAGTTGAGGCCGTATCAGTAAAAATAGAGCAGAAGAATTACTTCTTGTGTCTTGCTTACAACACTTGTGCTAATACATCCCAGAATATTTGCTTTTTTTGCAACAGTGTTACACTGTTGACTCATATTTAGCTTGTGATCCCCTATGACCCCCAGATCACTTTCCGCAGTACTCCTTCCTAGGCAGTCATTTCCCATTTTGTATGTGTGCAATTGATTATTCCTTCCTAAATGGAGTACTTTGCATTTATACTTATTGAATTTCATCCTATTTACTTCAGACCATTTCTCCAGTTTTTCCAGATCATTTGGAATTTTAATCCTATCCTCCAAAGCACTTGCAACCCCTCCCAGCTTGGTAACGTCCGCAAACTTTATAAATGCACTCTCTATGCCCTTATCTATATCACTGATGAAGATGTTCGAACAGAACCGCACCCAGGAGCAATCCCTGTGGAACCCTGCTCGATATGCCCTTCCAGCTTGACTGTGAACCACTGATGATTACTCTCTGGGAATAGTTTTCCAACCAATTATGTACCCACCTTATAGTAGTTCCATCTAAGTTGTATTTCCTAGTTTGTTTATGAGAAGGTCATGCGAGACACTATCAAAAGCCTTACTAAAGACAAGATATACCAACTACCGCTTCCCCCCTATCCACAGGGCTTGTTATCTTGTCAAAGAAAGCTATTTGGTTGGTCTGACATGCTTTGTTCTTGAAAAATCCATGCTGTTACTTATCAATTTATTATCTCCTAGTTGTTTGCAAATTGATCCCTTAATTATTTGCTCCATTATCTTTCTGGGTACTGCAGATAAGATGGCCTCTGCAGTGTTTATAGGAAATATTAGGGATACACTTTTCTCTGAGCAAAGCTCATACTCCATGTCTTCCAGGGAAGTTCACAGCTCCATCCAATGCACAAGCAGGCCTCTGTCTGGGGTCCAGTTTACTAGCATTTAACTCTTCTAATATGTGGGTTGTCACAGATGCAGCCAATGTGTCTTCTATAACCTGAACATCTAGAAATGTATCTACTGGCCTACCACAAACATCATGATAATCTAAACAATGACTTAATGCCCATTTGCATGAGTGCATTCATCAGCCATGTAAGCAAATGTTTTAAGATGATGAGAGAGTTCTTCACTTTTTCCAACTGCTGAGTCTTGCACTGTTGCACTGCATGCTTCTAACCAGTCAGTTGAGTTTCTTAGAGAAAGATAGTGAGCATTTGCTGGTCTTGTTTGGAACCAGTGTCCAGCTTCCAGATTAACAAATGACAATGCATTTAACATTGGCCTTCAGTTTGTAGTGTGTGGTATCTCTTGCTTAAATACAAAGTATGGTGTGTGACAGCCATGTTTGTTCACATGAACCATGTTGGGTCTCCAGCATTCTTAACAACCTCATTAAGTACTTCTGGCTTTGACAGTGACCAACAAACACTGGGATTTAGGTTGGGGAGACATTGTTTCTTTAGTAGGTAGCTGTATTTGTGCTTCGGACTTGTTTAGATGTTGAAACACCACTTGAACCTTCAGGTGACATGTTGGCATATTCTTGGTATGTTTGTCATCTTGGTTGGTTTGACCACTGAAGGGGGTGATGGCAGAGTTGGGGGTGGCGGGAGGGAGTGCAGGGAAAGCCCTGGAAGCATCTGACCCAGGAAGCTCAACTAACTCTAGGGCTCTAATATCATGAGCAGAGAGACACACAGACACCAGCCTCCTCTGCCTTAGGGCACGTCTTCGCTGGCAGCGCTTTAACTTGGCTTGTGTAGTCGCGGCACAGCGCCGGGAGCGCTCTAAAAAAACCCACCTCCATGAGGGACATAGCTCCCAACGCTAGTGCACTGTCTACACTGGCACGTTACAGCGCTGAAACTTGCAGCACTCGGAGGGGTGTTTTTTCACACCCCTGACCCAGAAAGTTGCAGCGCTATAAAGTGCCCGTGTAGACAAGCCCTTAGCAATAACCAGCTTTCCCCCTCCCCTCTGCCCCCTTATGACTGAGCCTCCCTGGGTTGGGGTTGTCCTAGCAGCCCCCATGGACAGTTCAACAGCTGCAGTTTTCATTTGCCCACCTGGACTCACACCAGAACAGAACCAGAGAACCAATATGCTTAACTAAACTGGAACCAGACTTAAACCATCATTTTTCCTCTTACTCACTGAATCTGAATCAAACTGGGGGGGAAAAAATGGTTGCCAGTTAAAATAAAGTTTCAGCAATTTTTCAGCTCAATAATTGAAATAAAATAAAAGCTACTCTGATCTTACTTTCATTATAAAAAATAAAACAACACACTGGCATGTGATTGCTACCAGAATGGCATGCCTCAGTAGAAGAAGAGAAGGTGGCAGCCAACAGGAGCAGGGAGGGAGATGAGAGAGAAGAAGTGGGGGGCTCCCTGGTCCCAGAAGTTAACAATAACTCTTCAAGCCCAAGTTAAAAGGCTGCTCAACTCTTCTCCCTCTTAGACAGGACTTCTCTCCCCCATCCTCACCCCCTGGTGCAGCTCCTCCCTCCAATTGCCCCACCTGACACGGGCCCCATGACCCAAATTCAGTTCCCCACTGAAGCAAGCTGCAGGGGCCCCCCTTCTGGGGCAACTACCAAGTAACCAAACCATTTTGGGGTCTATTGAACCAGGAACTGAACACACCGTCTGCCACTGAACCAAACCCCAATTCCACTCCTTGCGGCTCACGGGGACTCTGGTTTGATCCTGACTCCTGCACCGAAATCAGACCAGCCCCTGTACAGTCCTGTCAACCCAGGAGTCAGACCCCCCCCCAAATAATGAGATTGTCTTTAAACTGGGAGCAGAGTGTGCAGAGGGGAGGGGGAGGGATTGCGTGTGGCCGTTTGCCTTGTAAATGTTCAGCCCTTCCGGGAAGTCTCTTGCTCACCCCCCCCCCCCCCCCCCCCCCGGCTTGTTTGACCCTTGCTGGGAGGGCAGGGGGAGACTCACTGGTTGCTGGGCGGGGCAGCCCGTCACCCCCTCCTACCCCATGGGGCGGGGGAGCTGCCTTGTGTCTCTCCCCTCCCCTGCCAGTCTCCTCTTGCTCTCAGCCTCCCCACATCCCCCCTTTCCCTCGCAGTGACCCCCCACATCTTCCCTCCATTGCAGCCTCGCTGCCCCCAGCCCCGTCATTCCCCCCCTGCCCCCGGAGGCGCCCCATCCTCCCTTCAGTGCAACCACCGCCCCCACCCCGCCCCCGGCCTCCCTCTTCCCCCCCGACCCACACCCCGCCCCTCTTCAGCCCCCCCCCCACGTGTCGCTCCCCCCCGCCCTGCGCACAATGGCACTCGGGGGCCATTTTCCCGAGATACACAACCCGGGAATCGCAGCCGGCTCCGCGGGGAGCCGCCCGGGGGTGCCGGGGGGGGCGGGTCTCTCTTACCTTCCCCCCGAGCGGGGCCCCCCGGGGCAGGGGCCGGGCCGGGAAGGGGCCCTGGCCGGGCTGGGGGCTCTGCCCTGGGAGAGGCTCCCGGGGAGCAGCGGGAAGGGCCCGGCTGGAGGTTCCCCTCTCCCGGCTGCAGCCCGGGCTCCGGGCTCCCAGCGCCAGCCGCCGGGGCGCGGGGATCTCGCCGGGAGCCAGCGGCCGCGATTCACCCCGAGCGCAGCCAAAGCCCAGGCCGGAGCGGGCCTGGCAGGGGGCGGGGAATCCCCGGGCCAGCCATTCCGGAGGCTCCGTGTAGCCAGCTCATCCAAAGAAATACGCGGAGCCTAACCCCGCTGTCTGATTGGCGCGCTCAGCTGCCTATCACAACTCCCAGCTCTCTGATTGGTACGGAAGGGAACGTCCCCCCTTCTCCTTTATTATACTTCAGCCATCTCAGGCAGGCGGGGGGAGGATGTTTAAAGGTGCGTTCGGCCCTGGGCGATGATTGGCCCAGTGCGAAGAGCAAAGGGGGCTGTGATTGGAGGAGAGACCAGGTACTTCCCCGCCCTCCTTTATGACGCTGGGCCTGGGCCATGTGGGTGGCTGGGAGCCCTGGAGCTTTACCATATCAGCCCTGGGGGTGGCGTTCAAGCAGGTTGTAGGGACCAGCCCTAGACCAGCAGCATCAGGGCAGTGAGGATGTCAGCCTTGTGCTTTGTGCTGGGAGGGGTGGCTATAGGGGAGGCCGCTAAGGAAAATTTTGGAGTGGCTACAGCCCCCACAAGCTCCCCTGCCCAGCGCTGCCCTTGTCAGCAAGGCTAAAAACACGTGGGTTGGGGTAAAGGGAAACAAGCTAGAAGCCAGGAGGCCATGAGTATAAAGCTCACCTTTACTGAGTGCTGTTTGTATTTGCAGGCACTTCCCAGCCCTTTTTGCTGACCAAGCCAGTGTGTTCCCAGCTCTAGAAGGCAATCCAATATTGTATGTCTTTGCTGCCCATTTTACAAATAATTTAAAAAGAAGTTGCATAAGATCACTGAAATCAAAATGGGGAATAGAACCACAGTCTCCCACAGGGAAGCCTCAGGTCTTAGCTAGTCAGCTCCACTGTCTTTAATCTGAAAGCATCAGGTACGTGTTTTGGTTCTCCTGTTGCTATCTGGTAGACTTCACCAGAACCAGCAATAGGAGCTGGGAGTCCTGATTGCAAATGTTCTATAGCTGACTATCAAATACTTCTGTAACCCACTGGCAAGGTGGCAGCTGGTCTACGCACAGCAATTATTCCCATATAGGATGTGGTGGGGTGTTCAGTGGGGATCTGCAAAGACATGATTCAAATCCAGTAGCAGAACCATGGAGGGGATCCTTCATCCTGTGCTCAGTGTGGTTTGCATTGGTTTTGTTTTTGTTTCTTGTTTGGGGGGATCTTTAAAAAAATCTTTGTCTGTGGGGATCCAGATGACTGGGCTTGGGTTGCTAGAGGCTGTGGATTTTGCAGGGCTGTGTTGCAGCCCATTTCACACTAGAGGCAGGTAGTGGGGAGGTGCCTCAAACCATCATACTGTTCACCCATCTTGTTTTAAGAGCGTTAGCGATGGGAAACAGATGTACCCAATACTGGGGCTGCAGCTGAGTCCTTGAGATAGTTATAGCTAATTGGAAGGGAGACAGTGATTGGTGGGTCTCTGGAGATTTAATAAATAAATAAAGGGCATAGGTAATTAACTGATCTGGTTCCCCTTTGAAATTAGTGGAAAGATTCCCAATCACTTCAAAGGGCTTTGGCTCAATTCCTAAGTGACTTGGTCAGTCACCCAGAGTGAAATACACTTCACTCCAGCAACCAGGTTCTCTGCAGATAAAGCACAGGGGGGTTAGGAAATTGAAATCCACCCCCATCCTGAGACCAGGACATAGGACTCCAGCATTAGAAGGCTGAATGCAGCCCTTCTGCATCACTTGGTGGTGCTGGATTCCCCTTCCATGGGGCACTGGGGCTGCTTCCAGGTTTGGGGTTAAGTCAGGATGGGGGTTGCACTGGCTCCCCAGGCTGTGGGTGGGTTTCACCCAGGGGGGCAGAGCAGGATCTAGCACCAGGGGATCCTTCATCCTGTGATCAGGTCGATACAGCACAGTTCCTCCTGAACAGAGCACAGACTCAGCTTAAGCACAGGCCCAAGGGAATGGGAGAACTCGTTAGGTACTGTACTGCCTGAATGTGCTAGAAACTCCTCAGTAGTTACAGGCTCCCTGGCAGTTAAAGTCAGTCCAGAAGTTGCCTTTTTAGTGAAGTCTTTCAACTTTTATCCTAAGCTACAAATCATAGCCGCCAACTCTGTGGGTGCTGCGAGACTGGAGCACCCACAGGGAAAAATTAGTGGGTGCTCCGCACCCACCAGCAGCCTAGCTGCCCCCCCACCTCCCCCGAGTGCGCGGCGTGCCCTGCTCCTCCCCCTCCCAGTGCTTCCTGCCCACTGCCTAACAGCTGTTTGGCGGCCCTTAGTTCGGGGACCGGGAGGGGGAGGAGTGGGGATGTGGCACGCTCAGGGGAGGCGGTGATAAAGAGGCGAGCAGGGGCTGGGACTTGGGGGAAGGTGGTGGAATTGGGGCTGGGTGAGGGTGGTGCAGGGGTGGGGCCGGGGGTCGAGCACCCACGGGGCAGGGGGGAGGTTGGTGCCTATGCTACAAATTGTCTCATCTGAGTGTCCGGGTCCATCTGTCCTCAGTGATTTTACCTCTAATGACTTTAATCAGCAGGTGAATGCCCCCTTTGTACTGCAGCTGTGTGGTGAGCGTGAAAGAGCAAAGACTGTATTCAGAGTTATCCTATCACGATCCTGGTATGAAGGGGAAATATAGGCCTTTGTTATATAAACAGAGTGATAGTCTATCTGGGGTCTCATTGCCGGGAGGATCAGCCTAACCCCCAGCTTAGGGGGAACAGACCCAAGAGTTATTTTATTATGCTGTTCTTCCCAGAGAGTTTCTGCTGCTTTTCTTCATGCCTGTATTCATTTCCCCCTCTCCGCATCCATTATTTTAAGCCAACAGAAGTGACGTCCAGGGGAGGAGACCGGGGAGATGAATTCCTCAGTCTGGGCCATTTGCAGCTCTTGGTGCCAATGTCATGATTCCCAGAATGCTTTGAACAGCAGCAGCATTGGCGGGGAGAGGTCTCTGCACCCATGCACAGAAAAAAGGAAAAACAAGGTTTGGGGCAGATACCGAGCTGGAAAGTCCATCAAAGAAAACGAAAAGGGGCAAAATGGAGGAGGAGTGTTGGGAAGAGTGTGAGAATTGAACCTGCTGACTGCAACTGCCCCCTCCCCACCTGGCCTCAGGTCCCTTTAGACCCTGGCTCACTCTGGTGCCTGTTCTTGGCCTGGCTACTACTTCTGTTCCCCTACCAGCGTCACCACTTCTAGCAAAGTCCTGGCACTCTGCAGGGGGCAGCCAACATGGGGGCTCCTGCACCCATAAAAGGTCCAGGTTAAACAGAGAACTCCAGTCTGCCAGGCTCTCAGTGTATTTGTCTGTTTCAGCTGCAAGAGGGGAATCTGGGGCCAGACTGAGGGGGCCTGGGAGAGCCGCGGGAGCAGCCTCCTGGGCCCAGGAAAAGGAAGTTGACCATGGTGGGAAGGAAGCACTGACTAGAGATGCTCTTGGGGATGCAGGCAGTTACACTGGCTGCTCTGTAACTGGCCACATCTCCAGGAGTTATCAGTTGGCTGCGATCCACTGAAGTCCATGAAACCGCACTCATTGCAGCTGGGAATCGGGGTCAGTGTTACTGCTGTTGCATCACATTGGCTACCCTGTTGCAGCTATGTAAGACGAACTGGCCACTGAGCTGTAATTTAGCTACTCCAGGCCCTGATGCTCCCTGGCAGCCAGATGCAGGGTCCTAGCTTCTTAAATGAGGAGCAAGAGAAAATAAATCCTCACCTCTTACAGCGGGGGAGGGGGTCAAACATATTCACAGTTTGGACTCCATCTTAGAAAGATTGACCCTTGGAGCATCTCTCCTCCATTAACACCCCTGTGGCTACCTTAGCAATTGCTGATGGGTGGAAGAAATGCAGACAACGTGTTTCACGTACTTTAGTTCCCTTTAAATATAAGTTCCCAACTGGGAAGCAGGAAGATCAGCACCATGTGGCCAGCAGAGCTCCCTAGTCACTGAATTAGTGGGACGTTCACTATTTGCACTAATTTCAGCTGCTTTTTCTGTCATGCTTCAAAAGCAGGCAGCCTTTCATAGACACGTGAGACAGACTCTTCTGCCAGCAAATATCCAGTACCAATGACAAAGTGCAACAAAGTAGGAGCTAGAAACCCATGAGTTCAAATATCACCACAATCCCAACCCGAGTAACTAGAGAAGTATTCGCAAAAAGAAAAGGAGGACTTGTGGCACCTTAGAGACTAACAAATTTATTTGAGCATAAGCTTTCGTGAGCTACAGCTCACTTCACATCCGATGAAGTATTAGACACTTTCTCCTCCAGATTACAAGTTAATTGAGTGGCTGCACAAGGTCACTTCAGGTGGAACTAGGAACAGAACCCAGGTCTTCAATATGGAAAGTCCAGGCAGGAGCTGTTCATTCCTACTGCCTTTTGGAATGAATGCATACAGTAGATACGATCTAGTTACCTGTCACTACCCACCACTGCATAATGGAGCCAGGAAGAGAACCCTGGAGCTCTGATCTCTAATATTCTAATCTGTCTAGTAAGCATTTGTGTACCTGCTTGCACAGTGTGTGTCAAGTCCCCCTCCGGTGATTGGCCTCAGAAATAATGGCAATTTCTCCTGAAGTTCAAGTAGTGGGGACATGTGCTGGGGACTGAGGAGGCTGTACAACAAATCCTGATGCTGTGTGAGTGGGGATTGTGTGGTTCTATTTGATAGATATTTTAGTTTTCTTTTTTTAATAGTTTATTTAATTACCACAATAGTTAAAACCATTATAATCTGTTGATTGTCAGGTGATCTGCTATAAAATCCGGGTATTCCAGATTGCAAACATCTGTCATGCATTTTGATTGCTGGTGTCACACCAGCACAGCTGAACAATTCCTGACATACATGTTTATATAAAGCACATGGCCCAAAGTACAGGCTGGAGAGCAGCATATTACAGTAAGGTCCAGACTATCATCATAGTGACATACACAGATATCCTCACTGGGGTCAGGTTGACACACACAATTCAGGGGCGGGGTGCGGGGGGAAATCCCATGTCTTCCTTCAAAAGTCACAGCTGGAAAATTA